ATTAAAGCAAATTTTATTCGGGCATACATTGCTGAAATGCCCAGGGAGGTTACACTTTCGGCAAGTAGGAATTCGGCCGCTGTATTTAATATAGATTTGATATTTGCCGAACCGCAAGTAATTGGGAATAGGCTTAATTACGCGAACACGATAGTTTCGCAACCCGTTATAGATATTTGGTGCGAGGGAATGTTTTCCCCGTCGATAATGGAGGACCTCGCAAAACGGAGCTAGGCGTTTGATAATTGCGAGGTCCGAGAGCTCGAAAGGCGCATCATAGATGGTTAGGAAAGTCAAGGGTTTATCGATATCCTGAAGGGCGTAATTTTCCGAATTAACATGAAGAGAATTTAAGCGGAGGAATTTTTCCTTGTCGCAATGGTTTTGAAGGTGACGACAACTTCACCATTTAATTTGCGTTGGAGACAATGAATCTCCGTGTGGTCGATATCAGCATTAACCAAAGCATCAAAAACAGACCTTGCAGTTGTTGTTCTGCTCGGCGTAAAAAGGCACTTTTAGGCCGTTGTGGCATCAATTCTCGTTCGACGCTGGCGCCGTGGGACGCGGTCGTTCCCAAACGAAATTGTGCGTGCTGCACGCGATGCATAGCTTTCACCATTGACAGCACTCCTATCCTCATTCTCGCACGTATTTCCATCATCGGTCATCTCATTATCCACAGCATTCACAGGCATCTCATTTACAATCGTAACCGGCGTTTCAATCTTTCCATCATCCATCACTTGACTAATAACTCTATCACTCATGAACAGAGGGAAAAAAACAAAGACTAACAACAAATCGCACTAAGCAACAATAAAGCGAACTTACTTGCTGGCTGATCTAGCCAAAAGGCCGAGAAGCGATGCCGGCATGCGGAGGAAGCTGGGGATCGGTTTCGAAATCCTGACGCGGTAATGACGGAGACCATTATAAATATTTGGGGCCAACGAATGCTTGCCCCGACGGTAGTGAAGAACTTTGCAATACGGCGAAAGGCGCTTTATTATGGCCAGATCGGACAGCTCGAAGGGAGCGTCGTAAATCGTGAGGAAGGTCAACGGTTTGTCGACGTCCTGCAGAGCAAAATGCTCAGCATCTACCCGGAGCGAGTTGAGGCGTAGAAACTTCTCTTTTGCCGAAATAGACTTAAAGGTGACAGTGACCTCTCCGTTCGTCTTTCTCTGTAGACATGCAATTTCCGCCGGTCAATTTCGGCATGCTCCAGGGCTTCAACACCGACTTCGCCGATGTATTTTTACTTGGCGTAAAAACGCTGTTCGCGGCCGCTGGGGCATCACATTTTCCGAGTATCGAGCTCTTCCCTGTCATGGTGGGTACTCATACGACGCAGTTCTCGCCGCTCGTGAGGCGTACGAGTCACCATTTACAACGTGGCATTCTTCAATATTTTCAATATCATCTGTACTCAAGGGCATCTCATTATTCAAATCAGTCTCAGGCATCTCATTATCCAAATCAGTCGCAGGCATCTCATTAACAATCGTACCAGGCGTTCCACTATTTCCAACATCCATATCTTGACAAATAACTTTATCACTCATGAAGAGAAAAAAAGACTAACACAATATCGCACTAGGCACAAATAAAAATACACTTACTTGTGTACCTGACTTAGCCAAAAGGCCGAGAAGCGATGCGAAGCATGCCCTGGGTGAGGGGGGGTGGTCGAGGATCCTTCCCACGGTTTATGGTGGATAGTAGCAGGTGGCCCCACAAGCCCTTGCGAGTCCCGCAGACGGTCCCAGAGGCTGACCCGTTTGGTATCTCCTCACTGTAAGATTTTGCAGGTTGTTTTCGTTGAGCTGGAGTTAGTGAATACGGTGTTTCTTCAGTTGAAGTCGACAGGAGCAGTTCGGCAGAATCAGTAGGTTCGTTTGAAAAGGTATCGTCGCTTTCAGGGGCGTCCATGAATTCGTCTTGTGTGTCGGAGTTGTTGTTGTCCTCTGCGTCGGGTTGTCCTGTAAGTAGTCCATCGCATTCTTCAGTCATAGGTAGTTCTTCAGGATCGTCAGTAGCGGTTTTTTTCGGGAGTTTCTTCAGTCACAGATTCACTTTCAGGGTCGCTCGTTTCTCTGGTATCTCTGGCCCATGAAAATTGACATGCTCTCGCTTTGTGATCGGTGGATTTGCAAAGGTTGCACATCGGGGTTCGGGGCAGTCAGAGGCAAGATGTCCAAGTTGTTCGCAGTTGTAACACACAATATTATGACAGGCATTGGCGTAGTGGCCGGTCTGATTACAGTGGCGACAGGTACGGGGTTGTCCTTCGTAACGCAGGTTCAGTTGTATTTTTCCAAAGCGCAGAAAATTCGGGATGGGATTCTTGATGCGCACACGATAATGCCTGACACCGTCTTGGATATGTTCGAAGCCAGGTTCACGAAAATAGCCACGGCGGTGATGAAGAACGTCACAGTATTTGGTCAAACGATTGATGATGGTAGAATCGGGTAACTCGTACGGGCTGTCGAAAATTTGCAGATATGTAAGTGGGCGGTCAACATCTTGAAGGGCAAACGGTTGTCCTCGAATTTGGATCACATTTTTCTTCAGAAAGAGCTCACGCTGTTTGGCGTTCCGAAAGGTCAGTTGGATCTCGCCGTTCGATTGTCGCTGAATACAGGAAATTTGCTTCGGGTCTACATCAGAAAGTTTTAGTGCTTCAAAAACATCGGTCGCAGATAGACGAGTTTATGGGTTGACAAAAGCAGTGCACGGTCGCTGCGGTATTTCGTTCTCTTCGTCTACAAAATATGCGACGGGTTCTTCACGTTCTGGTCGGCTAGCATAAGCGTAACTCACATTTTTACCGGTAGAAACATCAACATCAACAACAGATTCAAGGGACGAAAACCGACGGCGCGGAATTTCTTTCACAACTTTGATCTTCACAAACTACATCTCGCAAACCCACTCGAGTGGGCGCTGGCCTCGCCATCCTTTTAAAAACAATTACGAAGGGCGCCCGAAGGCTCCCGAGCTTTTCCGAAAATGATAAGAACAGATTTTTTAAGTTTTGAAATGGATTTATTTGCAATAAATCTATATACAGAATAAAAGTGCGGAACGCACGTGGGCTTGGCCCTTACTAATTAATTATTAATCGGAAAAAGTTCCAGAAAAAAAAACTAATTAAATACTAATAATGTCCTTATTAATTAATCGCAAAAAAAGTTCCAAAGTCCAAGAAGATACTAATTAAACACTAATAAGGTCCATGACAAGTCCATATTTATATACAAAGGGACTCATAAATATTATACCTAAATATTAATAGACTTAATTAATATACTAGATAAATCAAAAACCTAAATAATAAGACCTAATATTAGAAAACTACCGCAAACTTAACCTAAATAACTATTTACAAAAATATTTACAAAAGCAGTTTGTAGGAGTCGCCGTACAAGCGGCACAAACCCGAAGCTTCCCAACAATTTCTAAATTCGGAGAAAGTAAGCCGATAATAATCGCAAGCTACACTGTTCTTGATATCGCTGAGGATATAACGGATCATACCCTCAGGGGTATCATTTCCATTATGGAAAGTAGCTTTATTACGAAATTTCCAGATACCGTACAGGATCGTTTTGATTAAAAAACGAATGAGTTGAGCACTTTTAGGGCTGACGGGAGCCCAACGGAAAAAGAAGACACGAGTACAAGACGGCAGAAAAACATTACCAAGAAGAGAAGAGAGTACAGGAGAGAAAAAGGACCACACATGTTTCACACGAACACAATTTAGAAAACAATGATCAATTGTCTCCTTACGAGAACAAGACGCGCATTTATTAGAATCAATATACCCCCAGTATAGCACAGTATAGATCTAGCACATCTCTAAGAATATGCAAATTCGATGTAATTTTACGTCCGGGCACAGAACAGGTTTGATCAGGATCAGCGATAAATTCTAGGACCTTAGAGAGACGAAGAGAAAGAACTTTGGAGCAAATTTTATAATCGACATTCAAAAGAGAAATCGGTCGCCAGTTTTTCAGATCTTTACGGTCACCTTTTTTAAAGATGACGCGGGTATTACTTGTCTTCATAGACTCACACATCTCCCCAGCCTGATAACAGGCATTAAGGACACGGCACAAGTACGGACCTAGCCGATCCCAGAATTTGACGTAAAATTCAACAGAAAGGCCGTCGGGGCCAGGTGCCTTATTGCTGTTCATTTTCTTTAACGCGAAGGTCATTTCGTCAAGCGTCATCTGGCCTTTGCAAGACGACGCTTGATCGGGAGAAAGCTGACGCGGCAAAGAGGACAAAAGGTCGCCCTGCAAGGTCGTGTCAAACGGCTCTTCGGAAAAAAGGCGCGAGTAAAAATCAACGTGCGCTTTTTCAATCTCTTCCTGAGAGGAGACTTCGGTGCCATTTAAATCGTAAACTGAAGAGATGTGTGATTTCTGAGCTTTGATTCGTTGCAAGTTAAAAAAGTAACGGCTGGGCCGCTCGCCTTCTTCCAGCCATTGCGCGCGGCTTCAGATCATGATCCCCTCGATTTCTTTAACGCGAAGGGCTTTCAACTGGCTTTCCGTGTCAGAAATCAAAACGGAGACGGTGTCGTCTCCATCAACTAAACGTTGACGGAGACGAATTAACTTATTCGTTAAATATACTTGCCGTTTATGCAACCGCCTCCGTTTATTACGCGAAAAGGCGATCGATTCCTCCTTGATGGACAGTTTCAAGAACTCCCACCAATCTTGAAAACTCGCGAAAGAGGGCAAAAAACGTAGATGACAGTCAATCAATTTTTCCATAGTGGTACAAAAGTCCTTATCTTTCAGAAGGGAATTATTAAAATTCCACACACCCGGGCCGCGTTTGACCCCAGTGGGGATGTCGAACACAAAGGAAACAAAATCGTGATCGGAAATTGGGCAAGGTGAGATGTTGCACTCCACACCGGGTGACAACAACTCCCTTGAAACCAAAAACTTATCAAGTCTACTCCCGATAGACAAGGACGAATTGAACCACGTAAATTCCCTAGCGCCGGGATGCAAATTGCGCCAAACGTCAACAAGAGCAAAATCATTTTTCAACGACTCGTATTCTTTGTGAATAGAAATGTTTCCACCGAATTTATCGAGAACATTATCGTAGCAATTAAAGTCCCCTCCGATGATGATTGCATCGGAAGGAATAAAAAATTCGTGGAGAGAATCAAAGAAAATCTTTCGCTCTGCAAGATTCGTGGGAGCGTAAATATTAACTAAATTCACATCAACACCGTTGCTCCTGATCAAAATACTGACAATACGACCGTGTGAGTCTTTTTTCCAAGAGACAATCTCATCAGAACATTTCGACGAAATTAAAGTGACCACACCACCCTGTCTACCAGAGGCTGGAGACCAAAAACAACGGCCCAGCCATCTGCGAGACGGATTTAATAGTGGATTCAGAACTGACTAGGGTTTCTTGAACAAAACAAACATCACAGTTGGAAGATTTGATCGAATCAAACAAAAATTATGAGTAAGGGATTAGCAAAGCCCCTTGCATTAACAGTTAAAAAAGCTTAAAGGGAAAACTCTTGGAAAAAAAGACTCACGCATAATAACTAAACTCACTTATGAACAGGTTTTTTCTTGCCCTTCTTTGTGCGTTTCGGAGACGCATCCGCCGATTTCCACTTTAAATCCATGGTGACGTCCATGCCATTTTCCAAGGAGACGGGCGAAGAAGGGGGATCAAGAACAGGTTCAGAGGGAAGAGAAGGCGTTGATTTTGCAGAAAGAGGTGAAGAGGAGCGTCTAGAAGCGGCCGAAAGAGAGTCAGAAAGAAGAGCAGGAATACGATGTCGCGGCGGGTCGGGCACAGATTGAACAGATTTTACGAGGCCATCGGTATTGAGAACTGGAGAATCGGGAGAAGAAAGCAAAGGCGAATCACTAGAGTCAGAAAGAACGGCATCAGGAATAGAAGAAGTATCGTCCACAGGCACAACAGCGGGGAAGGAGTTTCAGAAATTAGGGGAAGCGGAAGTAGATAATCTGCGCCACGACCATAAGAGCAATCGCTCAAACCATCATCATCGTCCAGATTCTACGCGACATTGTCCTGCTCGTCGGTTGGAGAGACCGGAGGAGAGAACCAAGAGTATATACAATTGATCCCCAGATGACCTTCCTCCTTACACAGACAACACAAAACAGGACAAGAACAATCGCGGGCCTCGTGGCCGAGACCCTCACAATTAAAACAGACACGGTTGGGACAAACATTACTAAAGTGACCGGGACGATTACACTTACGACACGTAGGGACTTGACCACTATGCTTTACAAACACCTGGAACTTACCAAACCGGAGGAAGCTGGGGATCGGTTTCAAAATCCTTACGCGATAATGCCAAAGACCATTGTAGATATTTGGGGCCAGCGAATGCTTGCCCCGACGGTAGTGCAGAACTTCGCACGGGTACAAGGCGTTTAATTATGGCCAGATCGGACAGCTCGAAAGGAGCGTCGTAAATCGTGAGGAAGGTTAGTGGCTTGTCGACGTCTTGCAAAGCGAAATGCTCGGCGTTGACCTGCAGTGAGTTCAGTTGGAGGAATTTCTCCTTCGCTGAAATGGACTTGAATGTGACCGTCACCTCCCCATTCATCTTCCTTTGCAAACATTGTCGCATCAATGTCAGCATTCTCCAAAGCTTCGAAAACCGACTTGGCCGTCGTCGTTTTCCTGGGCGTGAAAAAGGCCGTTCGAGGCCGCTGTGGCATTACATTCTCGGAGAATCTAGCTCTCTCTTGCCGTGACGGGTACTCGTGGGAAACCGTTCTCGCTGCCCGTGAGGCATATGAGTCGCCATTGACAACATGGCGGTCTTCCACATTCTCTGCATTCGTTCTCGGCAAACCATCAACGGGCATCTCATTATGCAAATCAACTGGCATCTCATTACTCACTTCGACAGGCATCTCGTTACTCAAATCATCAGACACAGGCATCACATTCTCGCAAATATCCATATCTAAAAAACAAAGTTACTCACAAAGCAAAAAAGGTTTAAGAAAAATCGCGCTTACCAACAGTAAAACCTACTCACTTGTTGGCTGATCTTAGCCAAAAGGCCGAGAAGGGATGCCGAAGCATGCCCTGGGTGAGGGGGGTGGTCGAGGGATCCTTCCCACGGTTTATGGTGGACAGTATCGCGAGAGGAGACAGAGGGATCAGAGCCAGCCCGATCAACGGAGCGATCAAAGACCTCATTAAAGTCACCACAGAGAATCGTGGGGATCGCGGGACCGATCTTGGAGTGGAGGTCTCCAAAGAACTGGTCCCGCGCAGGGTTGCGGTTAGGTGCGTACACACAACAAACCCGAAAAGAGCTACCGAAGAAAGAGAATTCAACCTGCAGGTAACGGCCGGAAACATCACACCAAGAGTTGACCAGAGACAACAAAGGACGAAACAAAACAATACAACCACACAAATGAGACGACCCAGGAGAGACAACAGCAGAAAAACCGGAAAAGTGAAACCACAAAGAACACTCAGAAGATGATAGACAGTTGGTCTCCTGGAGGCAGACAACGTCCGCCCCAACAGGGAGAGACCGCAACCACTGCACAAGCCCAACCCTTTTGGACTGATCCCTGATCCCATTACAATTCAGAGTCAGTATAGACAGAGCCATGATGAGGGAAAAAAATCCAGCCATAACGCTAATGAGGGGGGCGGCCACGGCTAGAAGCCTTTTCAGCTGCTAGGGCGACATTCCCCGGCAAAAGATGGTGCCCCGACCACCCGAGTTCTTTTTGGAGACCTTAGAATTCACAGCCTCCTTAGCGACCGGCCTCAGGGCTAGGCCGGGCGGGGCCAATGAGTCCTCCAGAGGAGACTCCGTCACTGGACGCTTACGTGCCCCAGAGGCAGGCACCATCTCCGAGTCCCCCGACAAGGGGGGGGAGTCTGATGCAACATCATCAGCAGGGTCAAAAAGAGGCACCCCACTATCGGGGCAGCCCCTTCGCACATTACCAGCACTAGCATTTGTATTATCTACATTGCTTACGTTATCTGCCCAGCTTACTTTACTAGCATTTACTATATTGCTTACATTGCTAATAGGGGGATCCCCGCTTACATTACTAATAGCGTTATCCATTACATTACTAGAATTGCCATTGCTTACTTTATCAATTAACAAGCCATTATCATCTACCTCATTACTATTGCAAACAGAAGCAACGCTGCTTACATTACTAGAGCAAGAAGCTACATTGGAAACAGCAGAGGAAGAGCCCCGGCAATCCGGGGCACCCCCCTCAACGGAGGAAGAGGAAGCACCCGATAAGACAGACGGGCACGAAGGGACATCCCCTACCGGCAGAGAAGACCCATCCACAGAAACCTGCTCGATACAAGGAGACTCAACCGCCGGGGGCCCACCACCAGCAGCCCCATCCGGCCCAGAAACCCAGGAGACACCTCTGGCCGGCTGGCCCCAAGCGCCTCTGCCATAAGATCTATCAGGGCAGTCACGGGACATATGCCCTGGCTGTCGACAATTAAAGCAAGTACCCTTCTTAGAGCACTTAGCCGCAACATGATCCTCTTCCCTACAAACATCACAGGTCACCGGCTGACCTCGATACCAAATTTTACACCGGAATCCATCGATCATAATGGACCGCGGAATGCGTGTCGTGCGGTCCATTCTGACTACCCTGGTACCAGTGTGAACATCCTTGAAACTAACCCACGACTGATAGGAAACGTCTTTCACCAAACCAAACTGGGACAGGGCCCGCTCCACTTGGCGGTCATCATTCTCATAAGGGTAATGATATACAAGAACCCTATCCCCCGGGAGGGCAGGGCGGATAACCTGACACTTTACCCCCAGAATGAGGATAGACCCCTCGTCCACAAAATCAGCCTTAGCTGCCTCCCCCCCTCTTCAAAAGTCACCCGAGCGATCTTATTTGGGCACTGTTGAACTGCCACCACCTTAAAATCAGCATTTTCTTCAAAAAAGTCTAAAAGCGACTTTACAATATCGATACTGGAGATGCCCTCAGGGAAATCTCCAGGCTTCACATCAATGGAACGCGGCAGAAAATCAGGGATCCCCATCCTGAAGGGAAAAGTCGGAACAGGCGGGGCCAAAAAAGGCACGCCCAGCACCAAAGACTCACCCCAGATGAAATGGGTGACCAAAAAGAGAAAAAAACACCGAGTTTTCCCTCCCGGCAGGTACTCACCGCAGTGAAGAAAAACACAACAACACTACTTACGGTTTCCGGCCCAAAAAAGGAAAAAAACCAAGACTGCGAAGTCACCCCTCCAATGAGAAGATCCACCTCTATGATCCGAACCGGCAAAAGTCGGAGTAGATACTATGACGAAGGTTTAACCTGCGTCAGGTAAGTTTTTTTTATGTTTAAGGCGAACGGCCAGGCTCCTGTGAGGGCGGTGCAATGCCTGCCGAACTAACCGTCTAATCCAACCCAAGGCGGGGAGTGCAAGGCCTTAAGGTTGGGTTCACCAATAAACAAGAGGGTCACCAGACACCAACCTCGTTGGGGAATCGAACCCCACCCTCGAAAAACATTAAACACACCCACACCAAAACGGAATAACGCACACGCTCGATAACGATAATGAAAACGATAATAATATCCCCTAACCAGCCAAGGGGCGGTACGCAAACAAAAAACGAAACAATAATCATAGCCCCTAGCCAGCCAAGGGGTGGCACGCAAACAAAAAACAAAACAATAATAAAGACCCCTAGCCAGCCAAGGGGTGGCACGTGAACAAAAAACAAAACAAAGCGAGGAGCAGGCAAAAGACGAGCTAAAGAACAATCGACAGAACATTGCCACTTACGGAAGCGACGACACCACGGGCGCCCCACTGACGGTGAAAGTAATGGCGACGACGGGAAGATTGGAAACGCTTGAAGAAAATCGGAAGGTGACACTTCAGGCGAGCCCTCACTTTGGCGATGACGTCCACAGCGCCTGGGGGAATATTACAAAAACGGAAATCATTCTGGGACTGCCAGATGTAGAATTTACACAGGTTCAGAAGGTAGACAAAGACGCGAGGGGTGACGCACAGTTCGTCCGAACTAAAGCTGAAGCGAACGTGGGGCACCAACAGAGCCGGACACATGAAGGAGAAACTGAACAACAACGATTGCAACCACGACAGAACACTTTGCGCTAACGGACAGTAATAGAAGAGGTGATCGAGAGATTCGATGGTCGGACCACAGAAACAAGCAAGGGGAACCGACAGTCCAAAGGATGCCAGGCGCTGCGCCGTGTACAGCACGCCATGCGCCACCTTCCAATTCAGGTCGATGACGTGGCGGTCAACGTCAAAGAAAGACAGAGAACGCCATGTAGCGGGCCAATCGAGCGAGCCGAAGGTGAACGAA